GGCGTGCGGGGTCCGGAGCCCCGCCTGCTGGCTATGGAGCCCCGCCTCCTGGACGTGGAGCCCCTCCCATTGAATACGGAGCTTCGCCTGCTGGTTATGAAGTCCCGCCTCCTGGGTATGAGGCCACGCCTCCCAGGCGCGAAGCCCCACCTCCAGAACACGAAGCCCCACCCACCATGCCCGGAGCCTCTCCTGCAGAATATGAAGCCCCGCCTGGTGGATCTGGAGCTGGGTCTCGCGAAGTTGCGGCAGCCCAGACTCCGAAATAGGATTCTCTTCCCTCTGCCTCATCCTCTCGGGCTCAGTCTCCACGTTCTAAGATGTAAGCCTTGAAGCCTCACCAAGCAAAGTAGCACCCTAAAATTGAAGCCACGATAATGCAGACTTAGGTATGTGATCACAGGCTGGTCCCAGGTAACTGTCCCACCCCTTGGAACAGCAAGCTTAGGGGGAAGGTGAAGATTCTGTTCTTAGGTTTTCGAAGGAGGGGTAACTCTTGAGCACCTGGGCTAAAGGAGGAGCAGCATTGTAGGGCTGATTCCCCAGTAATTTGGTTGACGTTGGACGGCATTTTCAAATATACTTACTATTTGGATAGGTAAAAAGCTTTCTGCCTTTCTCACCATCCCCATTCAAGAAATATTTATTATGCTCCATTTGCTAGGCAGTAAGATATATACTAAAACTAATAATATTTTGTTGATCAATTCTTTTAAGAATTTTAAAATTTAACTTTATTCACTCATTTATTTTAATTTGACTAGAGAGGAACAGAGGGAGAGAGAGAGAGAAAGTGAGAAAGCAAGCTGTCAGATTCGGGACTCAAATTGTAGTCAGCCCTGTAGGAGTCCAGCACCCTTAATCGCTACAACACCCACTGGCCTCGAACAGTTTTTTTTTTTTTTTTTAATTTTTTTTAGGTTTTTGCCATAGAGTGTGTGTGCTTGCCAGAGAGAGATGGTGAAAAAGATCATCCCTCCCCCTTGGGGGGAATGGTTACACTGCAGTCCTTTCTCCTTCATCTCCTCTCAGGATTTTGGGATGCATGCACATGTGCCTGGTGAGATTTTATTTTATTTATTTGCTTATTTTACAGCTTTTTCCTTATGGCATGTATGCTTGCTGGAGAGAGACAGTAAGAGAGAAAGTGAGAACTCCCCCCATAGAGGATGGCGGCACTGCAACCCTTTCTCCTCCATTCCCCTCCTGTGTCTTTGGCATGCACACATGCGCCCAGGGCAATTTTGAAGCTGGAACTTGAACTGCAATCAGCTACGTGGGAGTCTAGCAACATAACTACTCAGCTACGTGGGAGTCTAGCAACATAACTACTATGCCATCTGCTGGCCCTCGAGGGATTTTTGGCGTTTTTTGGAGAGGTTTTTGCTATAGGGCATGTGCACTTGCCAGAAAGACAGAGAGAGACAGATAGCCAGAAAGCAAGAAATTACCCCCCAGGGGGATGGCCAAGCCACAATCCCTTCTACATTCTCCTCTTGGGATCTTGGGCACGCACGCACACACACCCAGCGTGAGGTTAAGCTGCTGGGTCTGGGACTTGAACCACGATCAACTACATGGGAGTCCAGGGACATGTCAGTCATTATGCCAACTGCTGGTCCCTCTCCCCTCCGTGGGATTTTTAAGCCACCAGGTCGAGGACTCAAACCGTGTTCAGCCATGTGGGTGTCCAGTGCCCTAACCACCACACCTTCTACTGAACCCACACTTAGTAGTTTGTTCTTTTTACAAAACTATTTATATTCATGAAAGGATGGAACAACCTAAATTTCCAATAGTGAAAGAACATTTTATAGATTATGATACTTTCATATAATGGAGCATTATACAGCCATTGAAAATGATGTCTAGTGGTAGAGAAAGCCTTCTCTATTTTTAAAAAAGAATTACTTATTTAATTTTATTAATGATGATGATGATTTTTTTTTAAATTTGACACAGAGAGAGGGAAAGTGAGAAAGCAAGCTGTCAGGTCCAGGATTTGAACCATGGTCAGCCACATGGAAGTCCAGCACCCTAACCCCTACACCATCTGCCAGCCCCACTTCTTTGTTTTTGATTTGCCAGTGTGTGCGCACACTCGCAAAAGAGAGACAGAGAAAGGAGAGGGAAAAGTACTCCTCAGTGGAGCATGGTTACACCACAATCCCTTCTCCTCCATATGTCCATCCTGTTAAGGTTTTGGAAGCACACACACATACACATATGTACCCAGAATTTTTTTGTTTTCAAGCTACTAGGGCTGAGATTTGAACTTCTTGGGTGGACAGATGGGATCTGGCCCCCTAAACCACTAGGCTATAGGGTTTGGCCCTGAGAAATCATTCTTTTAGAAGACCAAAAACAACAAAGCAATAAAGAAAAGAATGATAAATTTAATTACATCAAAATTTAAAACTGTATCAGAGGCCAGCTAATGGCATGGTGGTTAAGGCTGTTGGATCCCACATGGTCAATTACTCAGTTCAAGTCCCTGACCTGGAGACTTGAAAACCACTCCAGGCGTGTGCTCGTGTGCATCCAAAATCCCTAAAGGAGAACGGAAGAGGGATTGCAGCATGGCCATCTTCCCTGGGTGAGGGATTTTCCTCTCTCTCTGTGTCTCTCTGGTGAGTGCACATGTCCTATAGCAAAACAAAGAAACTCCATATGACAAATGTTAAAAGGCAATAGGCTAGGATAAAGTAATTTCCAACATAAAGATTCAACATTTTATATTTAGAATATATGAACAACTACAGATCAATCCAAGATGTTCACCTTGACTAGTACTAAGGAAATGTAACTTGAAATGGGAAACTTTTTTTTGGCTATAGGGTGTATATACTCATCTGAGACTCAGAGAGGGAAAGTGAGAAATCACTCCCTGGAGGGGATGGCCACAGTCCCTTCTGCATTCTCCTACTGGAATTTTGGGCATGCACACACACATGTCTGACACGATTTTCAGACCACTAGGTGGGGCCAGGTCAGTGGTTGGCCATGTGGGAATCCAGCATCTTAACCAACATGCCACCTGCTGGTCCCTGGGATACCATTTTTATCTTCAAAGATTTTTAAATATTAAAACTTTTTATAGAGCAGTTTACCATCTCTGTATTTACCCCTGAGAAATACTTGCACATATGCACAAAGATGCATATGGAAAAGTTTCATTAGAGTAATTGATTTGATTCTAATAGCACAAAATTAGAAATAACCTATTCAATATTTGTCCATCAATAGGAACTGTGTAACTATGGTATACTTATGCTACAGAAGCAAAATTTTCTAAGATTTATTTTTAAATGAGAAAATAAGATGTATATACTACTGTGATTTTTAACCTCATCAGACTGAATGCCCCTTTTATAATAAATGTTTATATTTGTGTATTTATAATAAATATTTTATAATGTCTCTTCACTTCGATGATATTTGCAGGTAGTTGCAGATGACTCCACATCCTTTCATCCCAAATCAATATAACACCATAAATGTGATATAAAAAGGAAATAAAAATAGTGTATAGTGGATTGTTTTTATAATGCATATTGTATTTTATTTATTTATTTTTAGTTTGCTACAGGGTGTGTGTGCTGATCAGAAAGAGACATAGAGAGAGAGAAGAAAAGTAAGAAAGCAAGCTGCCAGGTCCAGGACTTGAACTGTGGTTGGCCATGTGAGAGTCCAGCCCCTTAACCACCACACCACCTTCTGGCCCCACTCTTAGATGTCCCTAATGACAGCTTTTGTCAAGGAAATCAGGTGGATATTAATAGGTGTTATGTGAAAAGGAGGGCTACTGGGTCAAATGTAATTGAAAAAACTGCTGATTTACCTCATGACTTCTCAGAGCCTTGAATGTACTAATGAACATCAAAAATCTCCACGATTTTTCAGGACCAGCAGGTGGTCTAATGGTTACGTTGCTCGACTTCCACATTGTTGATGCAGTTCGAGTCCTAGACCTGGAGGCTTGAAACTCATGCTGGACACATGTGAGTGTGTGCCCAAAATCCTGAGGAGAATGAAGGAGAATGGATTGTGGCACGGCCATCCCCCTCATGGGACAACTTCTTGCTTTCCATTTCTCTCTCTAGCAAAAAGCTCTCTGAAAAAAAAAAGATCCACGGTTTTTCAAAATTATTTAACCTTGGGATATCTTATTCACTAAACATTTTAGAAAAATTGTTATTCAGTGGAACAAACGTTGGGAAACATTCTCTGGAATGATGGGATATTTGAATTGGAATGGGCTTCAGGTGTCTGGAGTATGCTAGACATTAAAGCTCTTTCCAACAGTGAAAACAAATCAAAGACCATTCTTCTTCCCATTGTGAGAAAAAGAGCTTCCTGTCTAGTTTACAGAGAATGGGAGAGATTCTTGAAGAAAATATATAATATATAGAAAGCAGCTGTTGCAGCATGGTCATGCATCTAAGAAGCTGAAATGTCAATGGCACAAGGACTGCCACTTTGCTTAGGCAACTGGCATGAAGGGAAGAAGTAAAAAGGGAAAACAAAGCTATAAACCTTGCATACAGCTTCCGAATAGAGAATCCAGACCACACAGGATCTTAAACGTGGGTCTGGAACTAAAATTTTTCCCTAAGTTTTGGGAGAAAAATTACAATATTTTCTTCTTATAAGAGTTTCTTCTTTTCTTCTTCTGTCCATCCCACTGTACAGAGGCAAAAGTGACATGGAGAGGAGGAAAGGAGAGCTTCTCCAACTAGAACAGGAATAAGGTTCTCCTCGTTCAGCTTTTCAGTGTCTCCTGGGATGGCGGTGAGTGAGGAAGAGGGCCAGTGGATAAGGTCTCTTTTATACTAGAATAGTTCTCTAAAGAATTCTAATAGCATTACCAAAAAAATTCTAAAGCATAAAAACTAGACTTTCTCTTCTATCCTTCATTGTAGTTATACTTGTACCAGATGGATTTGAGGTGTGGTCCCATTAGCTAATTTAGGTAGCAGGCCCATGTCTCCTAAAAATCATTCCATCATGTTCTTTCCTGCAAAGTGTACCTGGTTCACCTTGTCCACAGATCTGCCCTGACGCATCAACGGCTGTGACTATACAGGGTTAGGGCCAAGTAGAGCCACAATTTGACCCATGTGGTGCTGTGTGGCATGCCTATTGTTAGCTCCCATTGCCTAGTGCAGTTTTCCCCTCAGATTCCGTCAGATCCTTTCTATTAGAAGCATATCCTGTAAGAAGAACCTTGAGTCCTGTGTATGCAAGGTGGTCTGGTTTTTGCTCTGCTCCAGACAAATCTAGTGAGAATTCATCTGGGACTGCTTCTTGCTCAAAGCACTCATGCTGGGTCCCCACTGGCATTTTGGGCACTTCCTTCCTGACACTCCCTATGGTGGTGAATTCTATTTTCTTTTTGTCTCTTCCCAACTGCAATACAGAAACTATGGTCTTACTAGGAATATCAAAAAGGGATAGAAAAAGGCCTTTTAGCCCTAGACATCTGGGAGTGGACCCACAAATGAGGTCCCAAGTACTACTTTTCATGAGTGAGTGGATGCTTACAACCTGCTGGAGCAGTGCCTTTCTGACTCAGCTGTCCTGAGGAAGCGTGGAGAAATGTACAGCTGGTGTGATTTTTCAATTCATAGGCTAATGTGTGCGAGAAATATTGCATGCCCTTGTTTTTGTTAAATTTAATTATGTTACCAAGACACCCACCATTATATGTCTTATTGATGGACTCCCCAAAATGCCAAGATTGTGCAGAGGTACCCAGATTTTATGTGGTGCTGTGATACTGAAAAGGTTCTTCCAGTCCTCAGACTGATTTTGAAGCAGCTCAGTACAGTCCTGGCAGTCCTGTCGAGTCCAAGAACTTTGTTGTTTCCTTGTGATGCACCCCCTCCAAATCTTGGAAGGAACTTGGGACGTGGACGTCGGACATTCAACCTATATTCCACATTCCCCCTGACAGTTGCAAGATAGGATCTAAAGCCCACTCCTTGAGAAACCCACTGTTCTGCACCTCTGAGGTTCTGCTCATTCACCTCTGCTTTGGTCTGGAGCCTCTCCACCTCTTGAACACCTGTTCTAATTCTAATCTTTTCTTTTTTGAGAGAGATTTTTGCTATAGGGTGGGAGTGGTCACTGGGGAGACAGAGAGAGATAGAGAGACAGAAAGTGAGAACTCACTCCTCGGGAGGATGGCCATGCCACAATTCCTTCTCCTCCATTCTCCTCTTGGGGCTTTGGTCACACACAGCGCCCAGTTTGAGTTTTAAGTCGCCAGGTCCGAGACTCAAACTGCAGTCGACTGCGTGGTAGTCCAGTGACATAACCGCTCATTCTAATCTTTTCTCAATGTTCTTGCTAACACTTGCTGTCTTTTATTTTTTATTAATAATAACCATGCTGAGACCAGCGGATGACATAATGGTTACATTGCTGGGATCCCACGTAGTCAACCACAGTTAGAGTCCCCGACCTGGTGGCTTAAAAATCTCACTGGGCATGTGTGCATGCATGCCCAAGATACTGAGAGGAGAATGGAGGAGAAGGGATTGAGGCATGGTCATCTCCCCTAGGGGGCGGTGATTTCTCACTTTCTGTCTCTTTAGCAAGCGCATGTGACCTATAGCAAAAATTTCTCTTAAAAAAAAAAATAGCCATCCTAACGGGTGTGAAGTGATACCTCATCGTGGTTTTGATTTGTATTTACTTGATGATTAGTGATGTGGAACACTTTTTCTATGCCTGTTGGCCATTTGAATTTCTTCTGACAAGTATCTATTTAGGTCCTTTGCCTGTTTCTGAAACTATTTTATTTATACTTTTGGTATTGAGTTATATATTAATTCCTTATATTTTTTGGAAAAAAAAGTGTTATCAGATATATGGTTTGTAAACATTTTTTTCTCATTTCGTAAGTTATTTTTTCCTTTTATTTTGTCAAGGGGTGCGTTAGCTCACCAGAGAGAGACAGACAGAAAGGGAGAGGAAGAAAGCATTTCCCAATGGGGATGATCATGCTGCAATTCCTTCTCCTCTATTTTTCCATCCTGTTGGGATTTGGGACATACATGCACATGTGTTTTTCAAGCTGCTAGGGCCAGGATTCCAGCCATGGTTGGAGATGTGGGATCTGGCTCCCTTAACCAGTAGGCTACAGGACCAGCTTTATCATTTTTATAATTATTTCCTTTGCTGTGCAGAAACTTTTTTTTTTTAAGAGGTTTTTGCCATAGGGGGTGTGCGCTCACCAGAAAGACATAGAGAAACAGAGAGACAGAAAGTGAGAAATCACCCCCCAGGGGGGATGGCCATGCCACAATCTCTTCTCCTCTATTCTCCTCTCGGGATCCTGGGCATGCACGCACACACGCCTGGCGTGAGTTTAAGCCACTGGGTCCAGGACTCAAACCGCAGTCGACTACATTCAGTGATGTAGCCATTATGCCATCTGTGGGTCCAAAAACTTTTTAGTTTGGTGTAATCCCACTTGTCTATTTTTTGCCTATGTTTTTCGTGTCATAATTGAGAAAATTACTGCCAAAGATAATATCAAGAAAGTTTTTTCTGTGTTTTCTCATAGTCGTTTTACAGTTTCAAATGGGCTGAGTCTACCTACCTCTTTTAAGTTGATTTTTGTGTATGATATGAGATAGATGTCTAATTTAATTTTTTTAATATTTGGATATCAAGTTTTCAATACCAATTGTTGAAGAGACTATCCTTTTTCCATTATGTGTCCTTAGCATCCTGGTCAAAGATCAGATGACCATAACTGCATGAATTTATTCTGGACTCTCTATTCCTTTCCTTCTCTCCTCTTCCCTTCCTTCTGTTCCTTCCATTCCTCTATTCTTTCCATTCTGTCCCTTCCTTCCCTTTCCTCTCCTTTCTTTTTCCTTCCTTCCTTCCTTTCTGTTTTTTTCCTTCTTTCTGTATTAAGCTTATTTATTTCTATATTATTTTCATTTATTTCTTGAGAGGCAAAGGGTTTGACAGAATTTCATCATACTGTGATTCCTCCCCTAGTCTTCTAGCTAGCCAGTATCATGCTGAGCATGTTCACAAGCTTGCCTGGTATGTTCAGGTAGATCCGTGATCAGAATCCAGGACCTTCCCATATGACTCCATTATAGTATCTTGGTGCCCTACCATCTGTGCCACTGTGGTTAGGTCTCTGGGTTCTTTATTCTGTTCCATTTTTCTATATGTCTCTTTTTATGCCAGTACTATACTGTTTTGATTACTTTAAAGTCAGGAAGTATAATATCTCCAGCTTTGTTTCTTTCTTGCTCATGATTATTTTGGCTATTCAGTGTCTTTTGTGGTTCTATATGAATTTTAGGATTTTTGTTCTATTTATGTAAAAAACACAATTATGATTTCAATAGGGACGACATTGAATCTGTAGATTCCTTTAGATAGTATGGACATTTTTACAATATTAATTCTTCCAATCCATGAACATGGGATACCTTTCCATTCATTTTTGTCTTTTAAAATTTCCTTCATCAGTATATAATCTTCAGCATATAGATTTTTCAACTCTTTGGTTAACTCCTAAGTTTTATTTATTTTTATTATTGTTAAAGTAAGTAGAATTGTATTTTTGTTTTGTTTTGTTTTAATTTTCAGAGTGTACATACATTTGCCAGAAAGAGGCAGGGAGAGGGAGAAGGACCTACCAAGGGGCATGGTCACTCTACAGCCCCTCTCCTCCATTTCTCCCTCCCATCAGGACATCAGGCATGCAGGTGCCTAGTATGTTTTGCAAGCTGCGGGGATGGAATTTGAACTGTGGTTGACCTTGTGGGACCCCCCACCCACAACCATTATTCTATAGAGCTGGCCCAGAATGGTATTATTTATTTTTTTAGAGAGAAATTTTTGCTCTAGGGTATGTGTGCCTGCTGGAAAGACATAGAGACAGAAAGCAAGAAATCACTTCTCAGGGGAAGTGTTCATGCCACAGTCCCTTCTCTTCCATTCTCCTCTTGGGATTTTGGGTACACACGCACACATACCTGGCATGAGTTTCAAGTCACCAGGTCTAGGACTTGAACTGTGGCTGACCATGTGGGAGTCCAGCAATGTAACCATTATGCCATTTGTTGGTCCCCAGAATTGAATTCTTAATTTCCTTGATAAATACAAATGCCACAGATTTTTGTATGTTGATTTTATCTCCTGCAACTTTATTTATTAGTTCTACCAGGGTTTTTATGTTTGTATATGTTCATATCATCTGCAAGCAGAGATACTTTCATTTTTTCCCTTCTGATTTGGATGACTCTATTTCTTTTTCTTGCCTGATTGCTGTGACTTCAACTTCCAGTAGTATGTTGAAAGTGAGCAGAGGTGAAAGTGAGCATTCTTTCTTTTTTCCAAAGCCTTGCTTAAAAAACTTTTGGTCTTTTATGACTAAGCATAATTTTAGCTGTAGATTTTTTTTTTATATATGGCTTATGTTGAGGTAAATTCTTTCTTTTTGTTTTTTTAGAGTTTTTATTTGTTTTGTTTTGTTTTGTTTTGTTTTTTGCTTCTTTGATTGTTTGGTAGAATTCACCTGTAAAATCATCCTGTCCCAGGCTTTTCTTTGTTGGAATGTTTTTTTATCACTGTTTAAACCCACTTATTTGTAATATAGGTTTTTTTTTTTTTTTTTTGAGAGGTTTTCACTATAGAGCACGTGTGCTTACCAGACAGACAGAGAGAGACATAGAGACAGAAAGTGAGAAATCACACCCCAGGGGGGATGGCCCTTTTCCTCCATTCTACTCTTGTGATCTTGGGCACACACG